TAAGTCCTTGAGTGTTTCTTTGTGGTTGCTAGAGGGGAAAGGAAGCAGTGCATTTGATCCAGAGCTTAGATCAGTGCTTGAGCTTGCCACTGATTCTGAATTGTATGAACTCGAAAGAATTTTATTTGGGCCAAGGTGATTTTTTGGATATTTGCAGCAACTATTTGCTCTAGAGGTAGCTGGACAAGTAGATACTTTTTATTTATTTATTTTCCACGCTGCATTAGTCCTCTCTGGGTATGTTTATGATTTCAGTTACTTCAGTCCACTATTGAAATCGATCTTGAAAAGTGACGATGATGATGGTATGATGATTGGAGAAGATCCAAATGAAAGGGAAGGTTTTATCACGAGGCTTGAATCTCGGTTCTTGTTTCTGGCAGCTGATGCAAGATCAACACTGAGGTGATTGAGGGATTCTCTTAGTTACCGACTTAAATGTCTTTTATGCGGTAAAGTGTGACACTGTGTTATGTACACAAGTCAGAAAAAAATAGAACATTGTTTCATGCCTTAAATCTGGAATGTCTATAAATGAACATTGCGTACTTTGCTTTTTATTTTTAGATCATCACCATGAATGAAGTTTGGCCTTGGGAGAACCCTTTTAACCAGAATCATTTATCACCATAGTTGTGTTCTTGTTGTGTCTTAGTCAGCAGCAATGTAGTGCCTAAGGTTGTTTAGACTGGAATTTCGAAAATACACAAATTCAAACCTTAAGTTAGCTGAACTTTATCTTTCTTATAAACTTACAAAATCTTAGCATGTATCATTTAGAGTGAAAAATCAAATGATTTTCTGTTTACTGTTGTTATTCCAGGGGCTGGAGACCATCTTATAGAAAAGTATTGCTTGCTGTTAGGAAACAACTAAAGATACCTTGCTCGAAAGATCTCTCAGCAGAGGACTTAGAAGTGGAGATTTTTCTGCATCTTTTGCAAGAATACTCGAGGTAAAACTGTGTACGAGTGTGCATATGTGTGGGTGAGTGTGTGTATGTTTTCTTGTTTTGCTTTGACACTACTTAATGTAGGCAAGATGTCTTGATTGGATATCTCAATGTTAACAATTTACATGTGATTACATTCCATAGTGAAGAGCCGATAAATTTTTCAAGCTCCAATGGTGACTCAAATAATGGCGACGAGCCTAATGACCTAGAGTTAGGCCTCAGCCTTTGGAAGGTGCAAAAGCTTGCAGCTTTAGGGATTGGAGCCACAGAGCTCAGATCAATAATAATGAAGGTGATTTGATTATTTACTTATTTTTCTTTTCTATTTCCACAGTTTTTCCTCTTTTGCTTCCTTCCCATCACTCTATTTATTAATATACATAATCATTGTACATTAGGGTGGTGGAATGCTTACACTGGAAAAGCTGTTTGAATTGGTAAACGACTAGCACAAGCTTTAATTAAAAACAAATGGAAAAAAAGAACATTGTTTTGGTTTGCGAAATCCTTTTCGATCTCCGAGTTGTTGCAGGTGGGAGGGAGATTATCGACGAAGATGCTTTCGGAAGCTGCCAAATATAGTATGAAAAAAGAAGCCATTAATAAGGTTCTTGATGAGGGACTATTTGATTTAAAAATACCGTGTTCATAAACTCGAACATGAAGATGTAGTAGATCTGCATAACGTTTAAGATTTAGCTTATGTTGCTCTCTGTATTTTGGTTTTGCAGGGTGGAAAGTTGGCGGCTATTCACCTGGAATCTGCTATGGGTTTGCTGGCTACTAGACAGGTGAAAAATGTTGAGTGCTGGTTTTCCTCGATTGTCCTTTTAATTTCTGTGATAATTACGAAAATATTACGAGGTTTGGGGTATTGCGAAATATCTTTGCCAACTTCGAGGATTACCAAAACCACCTACAAAGTTTGGTTCTATCTTACATTTTGCTCAGGCCTTTTGATGACTTGACGGAATTCGCAAGCTTGGCGAATAGTTTACAATTAACATGTCACTTTTTGAAATATTACTAGTTGCTTCATTATTTTGTCTATTTGTCATATTAAATAAATTGGAGAAAATCGTAAGACAAAAAAAGCTGGTTGGGGATATTGTGTTATCGTATACTTCTGTTTCATGGTGTTTGTAAATCCAATGAAGTCCACTTCAAACAGTTGCAGAAAATACAATCCAGATGTAACCTGAAGGCGCTTTTGAAGATACCAAAATTTAGTTATTTTTTTTTTTTTAGCTATTTTTTGTAATTTTGCCAAACCTCAATGATAGATTTTTATTATTCCTTAAATGTTGCCTATAGAACTACATCTAGGTCAGTATATATCTCTCCTGAAAAAGATTTTCATTATTAAGGATATGCACGAAAGCACCCGTCAAGTTTAGCTCAATTTCAAATGACCTCGGCTATCTTTAAAAATGAGAAATGCCCCGTTGATAGTTTCTTGCATTTTTAAATTGCAGCCTCACTAGTTGGATACTCGTGAAGAAAATATGAACCATTTCATTCTGAACAATATTTTTTTGGTGTGGTTTTAGAGAATAATTAATACAATACAATTCTTTTAGCTGTTGAATATTGCAAATGTTTTCATGCCATTCATAATTGACAGGGTCTAAAAGCTGCAGCTACTCGGTATCTGGGGCTTAGGAGTGTGACTCAGTTGCTTGGTCCAATGTAAGGACTCATTAAAATTTCTTACCATATAAAGTTAAAAAAAAAAAATACCTGCAAAAAAATTAACTTCAACCTAATTTGAGGGAGGAAAGCAATATACCCCTTGATGTCAGATTCTGTAAATCAGAAGAGAACATGGGATTTCGTTTTAGATACTTATAGCCTATGGGATAATTTATATGACGAATACAAATCAGCTTACATTATAATTGATCATCTGAGTATTTATGTAATTAAGCTTAATTTAGCTTTTATGTTGAAAATGCGAATTAACCATGCTTGTCTTTTGTGTAGAATGTGGGGTACCTTGCTGGCTGATGTTGTTATTCAAATGCTTGGGACTGATTATGCTCGGATATTGAGAGCCATTTATGCATTTGCTCAGGTGTGGAACTATATTCATATTGTTCAATCGATCTTCTGTAATGTTCGCCACTTTTTATTTTGGTATAAAAAGTTCGTGAATTATGCATGTAGGATATAGTCTTCATCCTCGACTGATCACTTTTCGGATTTTTCAAGTCACCTTTTTTTCTGAAAGTAATATTTTTCAAGCTCGTCTCCTAGTTTATTTGAAGCGTAGAGTTTATCTTCGTTAGAAAAGGCGCCAATTCGAATTAACTAATAACCCTCCGAAATTTGTATCGAAAATTAGCTAAATTAAGCACAGAACATGTATCTTTTTATAACAGCTCGACTCTTTTTGTTTCAGATTCGAATCTACCGCTCGTACAAAACGGCATCCGAGGTTATGTGAGATTTTGTTGGAGTTTATAATGTTTTGATCTTTCTCGTGTTTCTGTAAAAATGTCATCACCATTGTTAACTCTTATAAAAATCTCCAAGTGGTCAAGGTTTTTGTTTGGTAGTGTGATTGATTGGTGATTTGGGCTTGGATAATGTGTTTCATCACTCTTTGAAATGGAAATTAAATTCTTTAGTGTACATGTTGTGCACTTGTTAGTTGTTGCAATATGTTATATTTTAAATTTTACTCCAAATTCCGTTTTATAGCATGTGAACAAAACGAGCCGCTCGGCTTGTGAGATAAACGAACCGAGATTGAGCTCGGGTAAGGCTCACTTAGTTGAGAAGACTAGCTCGACTCAGCTCGTGGGTGAAAAATAAGAGTTTTTACGTGATTTCATTCACTTTAAGCACAATTTAAGTAACGAGCTGAGCTAAAGCTCCTTATAAAAAGAATTTTTTTTTCTCTCTTCAAATTATTGGTCTCTATAACTTTTTATTCATTTTATTTATCTATTGGGTTTGTATTAATTATTTCTATTGTGGGGCATAATAGATAAGCACCTTGTTGCTATCTTTTTATTTAATTATTTAATTATTGTATACATTATATAAAAGAAATAAAAAATAAATAAATATTGTCCTTGCCAACCTCATCACCACATGCCTTTAACTTGTATATATTGACCATGTGATGTGGTCCTGAAAATTTATATGATCTGAAATATATAAATAAATAAATAAAATAATTGAATGACAACAACTTTAATAGTAAAGATATAATTACCACTTTATCTTTATTTTTGCAGAGTCAAATAATATCTGAGCAAGTTCAATAACAAATCATTTTCTTCTTTATTTACAGTTGATCCATTCAAAAAGAAAAATATTTAAATTAAGTGGAGTAGAAAAATGTGGCAGACAAACTAGAGTATAAAAAAATGTCATGATAAACTATATATATATATATAGTATTCTTATTAAATAAATCAAATGGTCTTTTAATTAAATCAAATGCAAAAATTGACCGACAATGAATTTAAAGTAAAATAATCAGACTAGCTGCACGTGATGTACCAATTGAAATATAGAATTATAAAAGGTGAAATGACGTAACTGAGTGCGTCACTGGGTAATATAACAATAACCACGAATTTGTGGACCGATTGGAGCTTTCCATAATTTTTTTTTCCCCTTTATTAACCATCTCATCTCATTTAGACAGGGGCCAATTGCTAGGTCGGCGTGCCTCAATCTCATGGCCCGTGACTGGTACGACCATTTAAGAGTCGGCCCAAACTGTCGGTTTATGGGTAGGTACGGTCCTTTAAAAAAAAAAAATAATTAACTTGTAGCCCGTCGTTCGACCCACAGCCCGGGCCGACGGGACCAAAAATAAATTGAACCAGGATTAAACCGCGACCCTAAAGGTCCGGTTCAACGAACCGTCCCTTATAATGCCGGTTCAGGGCTGGTTTGGGCCGGGCCGGTGCCGGTTCACGGGCCAGTTCAGGCCGTGGCTATGTCTAATCTCATTGTGATGTTATTATTTTAGATTAAAAAAAAACTTAAAAATAATAAATCCAGTGTAATATGATAACTACTTCTAAATGGAGTTATAAATGTTGTTTAGGTTAGAGCTTTCAACTTTTATCATTTTTAAATTGTTGTTCCAATGAAATTCTATACAGTTTACCATAAAATTCTGTTTCCCTTTAGAAATTTAAAATAAAAATTTACAATTTATAAAGATTTAATAAATAGTTTATTTTCCCTCCTAAATTGATAATCTATAAATATATAATTTGGCAAGACAAGCATTTAATTTTATTGTGATGCATTAAATTTTATTCTCCCTCCAATTTTTTTAGCATTCAATTTCATTTTTAAGTTACAAATTAACTTGCTTGAATGCCATAAATTATGAGCATAAATCAATTAAGGGAGTTACAAAATTGATTTAGCATAAAGAAAATGGTTGTAATGGCTCTTCTATTTTATTATTTCCTATTTGTTTGAGGGTACCGTTAAAATTTCGACGCAAATTTTTTTTTAACATGGTCTTCTATACTATGGCGATCATCAAGAGTCAAGATCAATCTCTCTCACACGTTCGCTTAGTCTTGAATGACCCTGTTTTCAGTAATAAACAATTGGACGTTGCTTTTCTGGAGTTACTAATGGGAAGTGTTTGAAAATAATGATATGTGGTGATGGTGATTCTGACGATAGAAAAACCATAAATATTGTATACAAACAATATGTTTAATAAAATTTAAAATCATTTTCTTAATTCATATTTTTTCTCATGAAATGAATTATGGTTATGTATTTTTTTATATTATTATCTTTTCTAAGTATTTTCTCCGTGCAAATGCACGGGTTGAGCACTAGAATGACTTATATTATTATCATTTCCTTCACATTATGTCACTTCCAAATTGCTTATTATAATTATTAATAAAATAATTATGATAATTATTCCCCGTAATTGGAAAATCCCCATCAGCAAAAGAATGACTTATAACAGTTGTTTATTCATATTTATTTTGCAAAAATTAATCCCAAAGATCAGACACATTATAATTCGAATTATTTATATTAATTAAAATAAATTAATACTTAGCTAAATTATGATGGCCAGATAAATTTGTTTATAATCCCAATACTAACTCCTTCAAAACATGGATGAATTTCAATATATTCTTATTTTATGGAAAAACAAAACTGGCGGTGTTTATAAATTCTTCCATGTACAAGTTCAAAAATTTCAAGGATTTAAATAGTCCCAAGTTTGTTTTTTTCTTCTTAAAAAGGAGGATCTAAACTGGTTCCCCAATTCCCCTCCGATTGACTCGAACTCGGGACATGGTACACGCCAAGTGAGGGTACAATAGTCCCAAGTTTGTTAACCCAACTATGCTTATAGGTACTGTTTAATTTTTTGTCTTTATAAATAGCTATTACATTTTCCTTTGTTGTTTTAATTATATCAATCAATTATTTTTTTATTATTATTGTTGTTATTATTATTATTTTGAAGATATAATCGTTAGAATAGTCATGTACCAAAATGTGCAAACTACCATCTTCAAAAAGTGTTGACAAGAGATTTGTTGACGTACTCCTCCAAGGCTTCAATTTACTAATGAAGAATCATGTATTAAGTCATGGACAATTGTATGTGGCACGATCTAGAGTCATCAGTCGGAGGAGTTTGGAGATAATAATTTGTGTTGATGGAGATTGTGACGATAGAAAAACCACGAACGTTGTATATAAAGAAATATTTAATAATATTTAGATATTATTTCTTATTTTGTTTCAATGATTATGTTATTATTTTTATATTTATTTTTTTTTACTTTATTCTCTTCTATCATATAGCTTTCCGTGCAAATGCACGGGCCAAAAACTAGTTCTAGGTTACTTTCCACTTAAATACAATTAATTTTAAAACATTCATGAATATTTGGTCGGATAAATTTTTTAGAACTTTTTAACTAAAAATTAAACTCTAATTTAATTCAGTTTAACTCTCCTCATTACTGTTAGTATAATTAAATAATATTAATCAATCGCACTCACATATCACATCACTTTATTTAACTATTCATTCTTTCACATAATTTTAACTATCATTTTCAATAAATTCTCTCTTATTTTTACATTACATCAACTTTAATCTTACTTAAATGTTATTTAAATAAAAACTAAGGGCATTTTTGTTTATGAAAATTTCAAAAAAAAAAAAAAAAATCACATTTTAACTCAACCACTTTTTTTAACTCAACTTTGACTCAACCCCACTGTCATCAATTATCATCAAAATAATTAAATAATATCAATCAATCATTCATACACACTACATCAACCTTAATTCACTATTCATCCACTCACATTATTTTAACTAACCATCACATCAAACCATCTCTCTCATTTTATATCAAATTATCTTAATTATTTTATTTTAAATATTATTTTAATATAACCACTAACAACTAATCATACCACTTTCAAAATTAACCAAATCAAACCAAAAAATCCAAACAAAACCAAAAATTTCTATAAACCAAAAATCCACTGAAATTTTCATGCATTCATTTTTTAATTAATTCATTTTATTCAACAAATTTAGTTAAAATCAATATCACCACCTTAGAGTTTGTTAACTTTTGAGTATTAGCTTACAACATATTTGGAACATTTTGACTCAGGGGTATTTGATAATTTTTTCATTTACGAGGGATTTGATATATGAATTATTAGCAACTTGTTATTAAACACTCTTGAAAAATAGTTTTATTTCATTTTATGAAACAATTATAAATTGTGGATAATATATTTATATTTATATATATATATATAACATTTCTTAAGATTAAATTTTTCGTTGTACTTCCACGTTCAATTCTTCTTTAATTAAAAATTATAATATTATATGATAATGTCATATTTAAGCATAAATTATTCATCAAGTAAAAAAATAAAAGTAAAACAAGAAGTCTATAGCACTTGAATTTTTTTTTTTTTAAAAAAAAAAAACTCAATAAAAAAATACGACGAATAATTTTAATGTCCACGAAGTTCCAATCCATTTGAGGCTTACCCTAAAAATAGCAAAATTAATTGAAAGATCCAAGAATCAGAACCCAATTAATCAGCCTTTGATGCATTACAATCACATGGATAGAAGTTGGGTTCATTGACCGACGTAATATATTACGTCACCCATGCGCAATAACCTTATAACCACATTCGTTGTTTATAGGGATATCAATAAAATTTGTAGGGTTGGGTTACTCACGAGTTAGCTACATTTTTCAAGTCGGATAAACTCGAGATGATCGAATTTCGAATCGGTAGAATTAGGCTACCCCGAGCCCCGGTCGGGTCGAGTAGCCTAATTCTGGAAACACAGGCCCAATTGTTATTAAGCACGTGGAGGGCAAACTTGGGTGTTCTAATCGTCACGTGTCTGTGACTCTATCGGCGCTCCGTCAATGACAC